ACTCTCAGAGCAGCTGGAGATGACATTCGTGTTCATATCATCATATAGTGAGACGGCAGAAGCTGAAAATACCGCGAGTGTCATCCGTGCTTTAGTATGTGTGTAGTAAACAAAAAAGTGCACGTCACCATCTGCCATTCATTCAATGCGGAAATCATGGCGCCTTATGCATGATATCAAATGCTTCCGCAGATTTATAGTATTACTATAGCATTTCACCTGAGCATTGTGAATTGTGCGTATTGCCATGATAAGTGCTGAATGAATGACAGGATTTCTTTTGTAACATCGCGCAAGGTAAATAAGGGTGACATCTAGTGGAGAAGACTAATGATGAGATTCACGTTAATCAGATCTTGTTTTAAATGTGTGCTGAAATATATACTGGAAAAGATCGCTTCGCGGCTTTTGAGAATCGATATCGAATCGACGTCATAAAAAAATAACGATTAATCGGAAAAACAAATTTTTTTGCCCAGCCCTAATATCGGCTTTGATTTATATATTGTTCGTCCACTATTTACATGCAGAGTTATAATCGAGCTAAATTTATAAATACATTTTTATTTTAGTATTTAACACAGTGCATAATAGAATATTTGAAAGAATAAATACATGTTGTGTCTGTTAGTCCAACTTGAAAAAAACAGACTGGTATGAATTCAGTTTAGACTAAAGTGTTTAAATGACATTTAAAGTGTCAAAGTTTAGAAAATAGGGACAAATCATTCTTTGTATTGTCACATACATCTGAATGTAACAGAATATTGAAAAGGAAAAAAAATGTAGTCCTTTGTTTAATCTGTTGGTTGTTGATTGGATGGAGGCAGATCTGAATGCAAACTTGCAGTCAGTTGTATGAAAGGGGCTGGGTTTACGAGGACAAAATAATCTGAGAAGTCCAGAGAGAAGTCTGTTGTTTCACTAGAAAATTGGGTAATTTCTATGATTAAAAAATTTACATATATGCATGAAAAAAATCACACAATAATTTCAATAACCTGCATTTTGAAAATGTTATGCAAAATTGTTTTAGTCTGACGTAAATTAAAGTTGTAACATGCATGTAAATGCACTTACTGTGGATTCTGTGACAGTATTCTAATCCAGATGTGACCTGTTGAACTGAAAATTCAGAAATGGCAACCACGCCAACATTCCAGAGAGTGGATTTCTCCACTTCAACCTGAAGATGATGTAATATTCCTGCTAAATTTAGGGGACAGCAATTGGACTTGGAGTTTTACACTTCCTCTAAGATAAACTGACACTCACTTTACCAAAACTCTAATCTTTTAACAAATGATCTTTCATGATCAACACGATGGAAGATCATTAAGCTGGTTGCATTGTACAGTAAAAGTTGCTCCAGGTGGCAGAGTGGTCTGAGAGAAAGGGCAAAGGTCAGGCTCAGGAGGGTAGGTTAATGAATAACCAGTCTGTCATTTATTTAGTTGCTGTCAGAAAGGCAGCGCTTACACAGATAATTGTAGCGCGAACAATCCCAGGCTAACCGTAAAACCAGGCTGCTATTCTTTATTCCTAGAAATCAGGTCTTGTGTTGCTCTGGATTGGGTTAAAGTGGAATGTTTCAGTTGCGGGGTGTTTTTTAGACACTTACTTTGCAACCCTGAATAGGTCTGGCTAAGATAACCGGCGGTCACGCTGTAGTCTGGAATGTTGATGGGCCTTATCTCTGTTCCCTTCTTCCCTTGAGGTGTGTGGATAGCGTCTGCTTGTATGGTTTGTGTGTGTTTGTAAGGTTGCAGTGGGTAAGAGATGCTGACCGCAGTGTTCAAATTCCACCCTTGTTCTGCACATGCACATTAAACCTGTGTTTTGCATTTTGCTAATAAGCTACTTTTTAGGGTGAACTTTCCATTTTATACTAATTTGCTGATCGCCGATCATAGAAAGCAGGATCTGCCGATACCGATCTTTTTAAAGCCTTCTTTTGATCATTTATAACTATTTATAGTGATACTCCAATCAGAATTGGAATTAAAATTTTAGACATTTATTCAGGGCCTGAATTTCATTTTTGAAAATGGGGGGAATTTCACACAGGAGTCTGCTACTGATCCGTGGCTGTTTACCACAAACACAACATTTATCCATTAGTTTGATTTCAAATCCAAACATTGTCACTGAAAATGCTTTTTCAGCATTGCAATTCTTTTTTTTACACAGTACAGTAATACAGTCTTTCACAGACATGTTTAAACACAATAAATATAAGCAACACATTATTCAGCGCTTTTTATATATTTTTATAGATTTATATATCAAGTTGCTCAAGCAAGTGGCAAAACATTTAAACTACTTTTCTTACATTATCACAAACTACCATTGACAGAAATAGTCAGCTCTACTGCCTTTTCTTTTGCGTTTAAATCTTTATTGTAAGCAATCATTTAGTTCGTACAAGCCATTCATAAAGAACTTTGTTTTCCCACGAGTGCCATTGCGTTCTTTATCTAAAAGTGCTCTTTCCCTTTAAACCTAGACAAAAGCCATATGTGTTGACTGTGAACCACCGTAGATTTTAATAAAATGCATTTATGGTGTAATAAATAAATTTTCATGTCAATCCATGTTCATATTTACTGCAAACAATGCGCTGTTACTTTAATTCAGTGATAGTGATCGGTAGCCGATCAAGCGGAGCACCCCTATTTTATACGTTCGTTTTTTTTATGAAGATCGTTAAAACTTTTCTTTATCTTGCCTTCATGATGTTTGTTTTAAGATTTTTATATCCCTTTAAACCATTTATAGACTTTTAATCTTTCCAACTCTAACCCTAATAAAGTTTTTTAACAAAACTTAGTGTATTTGTTTACAAAAGAGATACCAGTGAAGAGCTTGGGATGAAAAATTAGATGTGTGATGTGTGAGAGGAAAAATCAATGTGAATATAACTTGTGAATCAAATTTGGGAATTTTGTGAAACTTGTGAATTTTGACATTGCCAAAATGCTGGCTATAAAATTAGCATTAGCAAGACTATGCTAATGTCATTCCAGCATTTCCCCCCCCAATTTGTTAAAATGTAATTTTCATCATTGTCATTTCCACCACACAATGTTGTTAAACACAATACATCATTAGAATTGTGGTGAAAAACTATTGTGTTCTGAATTTTCATGACTAAACTTGAGAGAGTGTGAAGAGTGCATGTTTAGAGAGTTTTTATGTTCACAGGAGCAAAAGTTCCATAGTTGAAGAAGTTTACACCCATGACTTCCTGTTAAAAAAAAACATTTTGTTGAATTTCGAAAAGAAAATAGAAAGGGTTTGGAGGTCAGTAGTACTTATTTGGAAACATTAATACTTTTATTTAGCAAGGAACGCATGATATGCGGTTCTTTTGCACTTTCTGTTCATCAAAAAATAGAAAGGTCAGGAGTAATGGCTTCTGAAATTTTGCTTTGCATCATAGGTACATTTTTAAATATATTAAAATGGTAAAAATTTTAATTATTTTACAGTATTTCTGTTTTCACTGTATTATTTTGATCAAATAAATTCAGCCTGGTTGAGTATAAGAGACTTATTTTATAAAAAAAAGATTTTACTGAAGACCAGGCATCTGAAACATTAAGACATCTCTGAGTCTCTGAATCCTCACTGTTACTGTAACTGTATCTATGTGCTGGTGTCTCAG